TAGAATAGAATAGAATAGAATAGAATAGAATAGAATAGAATAGAATAGAATAGAATAGAATAGAATAGAATAGAATAGAATAGAATAGAATATTTTTATGATGAAGTGCTTTCAACATCATCATATCATCTCATTTCAACAGCTGTACTAGAGAAAGCCCCATCAGAGCAGGCTGGACCAGAAACACCTTAAACCTTGTCACCCTTGAGCTTCAGTTTGCCATACTTGTAGACAAGTAAATTACTTTTATCTGCCTTAATAGAGGTTTTGAGACTGTGACTTCATTATGGACAATTGTTAAATAACTTCTTTTTAACATTAAATTGGCATCCAACAGCCTTCTGAAAAGATGCTCTACAGCTGTGTGAGGGAGGAAGAACTGCATACATGAGTATGGCATCCAAGTTTATCACCATGTGTAAGAAGAGTAGAAGGAAAATACAGGGAACAGAAAGTCAGTATTAAGTTCAGCCAGTTCGTTGGAGTGGAGTTTGAGGATTGTCAGGCTAACATAACAAGATGGGTTTAAAATAAAAACTAATGAGGGTGAACAGCATGAAGAGGCTTCACTCTCCAGTAAATCAGCCTGCAGCATCACTTTCTAAGATGCCTGTGCTATACAGCATCTCCCACACTCAGCAGGGATGAGAGGAGAATGAAGGTGCTCCTTGCAGCAATGGGCAGCAGCAGCCCTGTCCCTTTCACCTGGGAGCTGTCTCTGTGGGCTGTTCACAGGCCAGAATGCATTCAGACCAAGCTGTCTTGTTTTACTGACTTCTTAGGCCAAAACAGAGTCCCCAAGGAGCAAGGATAAGGATTCAGGACATGAAAGTTTCATTTCTATGTCTGTACTGGATGGCATTTGGCTCTGGCTGCATTTTTGGGGTTTGCTACGTCCATTCCTCTAGTAAGAAATACTAACAATAGCAGTGGTTTGAACAGCTCAGATATTAATAGCATCACTGATATGGTAATGTCTTCTAACTAGAAATAAGCTTTAAATATGTTGAGAAGGGAAGTGAGCACCTTTAGAGGAAAGAAATTCAGTCATTTACTCCAAGCCTGCTCTGCCTTTGCCATGGTAAGTCCTGAGCAAGGCTTTACCAAGGCTGCAGATAAGCCTGTGTACACAGACCTTCTAACAGCTATTTTGTCTTCTATAAACTTTTAGAGAAACATAAAAGCTGATAATTTTAATGCATGCATGAGCTACCAAAGGAAACAATCTGCAACAACCTAAATTTAAGGCTGTCACCAAACAGACAGTAACAGACAATTTTATCAGCATGGGTTTTGTGCACAGTATGCTCTTGATGGGAAACAAACTATTTTCCTCTTCTATGGGGCTTGCCATCCTGAAGAAAGGGCAGGCAAGAAGACAGCACAGGCTGCTAGAAAGAAAACAGAGGCAGGCACTACTCCCCACCCTAACAAATTGATGTATCTATTTTAACTTTGCTGAGGTTGTTCTGCCCCCGTGAATCTCCAAAATAAAACAACCACAGTTCTACGACTAAGACTGAGCAGTACAAAACCATGAGATAAAATGGCAGAGGGGGACAGAAAAAAATTTAACTGTTGCCACAGAGTGAAAATCACTGCCTTGGATGGAAGGAAATTCTTCTGCTTTCACCTGCATTGTTTATACTACCACACAGTTGCTGTGACATTCACGATAAGTTGTAATGCCATTCCTCAGATGTAGAAATAGATTTGTCTGTGGTACTATTGGATTTATAGGGGAAATTAGGGAGGTGACCTTTCTCCCTAATGAAATTTCTGT